GTCGTCAGTTATTTTGATGTTTTTTATTATTTTTTACAATAATCTTACTATGTTATCGTCTCTTAATTCAAAATTTTTGTTTAAATTTATGATAGTTATAGTATTTATAAAACTAATAATTTTTTTATTTCATAACTGAATAATTTACTGTTACGAAATCATCATGAGAACAAATTTTTTTGATATCGTCAGTTATAAAATTTATTCCAATCTCATTTTTTTGCCATTTTTTAGGTTTTTGAAGTAACATACTGATTTTTTAAATTATAAATTAAATTTTTATATCATTATATATTAATATTAATTTCTCACTAAAGATGTTTGTTCAACATCTTTCAACAACTTTTTACTTATTTATATATTCATATTAAATGTTAAACAGTTAATTTTATTTACAATTCTTTACTCAATTGTTCTTTACTCTCTAATTTATTTGTTGAGAAAATTCAATTGCAGTAAAATATTTATTATATTTAATTTAAAAACTGTAAAATATTTATTTAAAATATGAATATTTATTTATTCAATACTACCCATGATAATAAGATTTGTATTGAAATGAAATTTTATATATGAAATGGCAAAGTTTAACAATCTAATGTCTTCCATCTACCTTGTGTTTTTAATATCAAATTTATTAATAATATGAAAGTATATAATAATCGTAAAAAAAATAATGTTAGTAAGAAGATTCTATATTTTCTATAACATAAACTTAAAGGTCAGTATTTTTGTAATAGTAATTCTTTTCACATTCATATTTATCATATTTAACTTTCTAACTAATTTTAATTATAGTTTATATTAATAAAATGTTAAGTTGCAAATTTAAAGAAATTACAAAATTAATTAATAGTAAGTAAACTAAGTTATTGTTATATATACATGTACATACAAGTATTTATATTTATATAAAGAACAATTACAAAAAATTTCATTGTAATGATTAAGTGAAAAAATTTTAAGTTATATAAACTGTTAATCTTCAAAATTAAAAAAAGTATTTCAAATGTTTTCAAGTTGTATTAAAATAGATATGTTTCTAAAAGGTATAGAATCAATGAAGCTAATAGTATGACTGTATTTTCGAAAATTTGCAACGCATCGAGCTGTATTTCTTCAAAAATCAAGCGGGATGGAAGGATTAAACGCGAGTCTCGCAGTCAGCTGTAAAATCGACGAAGGGATCGAAGTGAAAGTGACAATTAGCAGAAGGTGAATTGTGCCAGCCTTTTATAATTCCATGGTGGGATCTGGCTACGTTTGAGTTACTCGCAGGAGGTCGAGTGGTGCAGTTTCTTTCGCGTCATTCTACCTCCGATACGACCACTTCCAATTTCACGTCCTTTTCTCATTAGTCTGATAACATAATCACAGTAAGTGTGTCTTTTAATTTCATTGCTTTCAGCTTAGAGTGTCAAGATTAAAAGGGGTAGTTTTTTCGAATCATCTTTTAAATCTCAGAATTTTAGTTTACACTAGAAAGAAAAGAAAATTGTTAAAGAAAGAGAGAATATATATACAATAATTTTCAAGAGCATCTTCTAAATCTCAAAATTTTCATTTATACTAAAAAAAAAAAAAATATTGTTAAAGAAAGTCATCTTGAGTATAGACAAATTTTTAAATTCTCCGAACAATCCATACATATCGAAGATTTATTGCCATCGTAAAATTAACCGGATTCTTTTATAAAAGCGAAAGGTCAAGAGTGCAAGAGGGGTGTTTAAAAAGTCGAAGACGAGCTTGATCATGAGGAGCGTGGCGTTTGGTGCATTGATCGTGGTTTCTTCGGCATTGCTCGTGTACAGTTTTCCTGATGGAGCACCAGTGGACACGTGCGTGAAACCATCAAGAGCCAATGAGCCTAATCATGGCCAAGCGAGGTCGCAACCCGTACACACGAGCCCTTACGCATTCACCGCCTCGTCGTCGCAATACGAGCCTGGATCTCAGATCACCGGTACGTTTTTTAAAATTTTTACATTTCGAAAATTCCCACAGACGCGTAAACGCGAATCCACCATATTAAAAAAAAAAAAAAAAAAAAAAAAA